GGTGAGAGCGGGAGGGAGAGTCAGGCCTCAGGCGGGGGTCTCTGGTGGAGGCCGCGCTGTTTGGGGGTTCTGAAGGTTGGAGGGAAGGCTCTGCGGGTGCTTTGCGCGGAGAGTCTGGGCGGGACAGGGCCGTTTTGGGGGTGGGTTGGCTCGGGAGAGGTGTGGGAGGGCCAGGGCTGCCTTGATGGGGCCACGGGGGTGGTTTGTAAGGGGACTTGGGAGCTGTGTGTAGATTTTAGGAAGGACCCAGAGGGGACGGGGCTGCTCTAGGGGAGCCCTGAGCTGAGGGGAAGATTTAGAGGGGATGCGAGGGCGTGGGGCTGCTGTGGGAGGCTTTGAACTGGGGGAGTTTCACAGAGTTCTGGCCTGAGGAGTTTCTGGAGAGGAGCCGCAGCAGGTGAGGCTGTGTGGGGTTTCTGCGAGCCACAGAGAGCTCAGCTCTGCCTCCTCCAGCTGCTAACGCAGCCCACCTGCCTGCCCAGGTTCTCACACATGATCCAGGACAAGGCCCTTCGCACCTCCTGGGCACGGAAAATGAAGGAACGGCAGGAGAGGAAGATCGTCCAGGACCTGGCACGGCAACTGCAGGAGGGGAAACAGAGAGAGAAAGAGGTAACGGTGCTTGGGAGCTGCGCCTGGGGCTCGGGACCCTCCAGGCAGTGTCACCTGGCCTCCTCTGTGCCTGCTGTCCCAGCCCTTGTCTGCAGCTACCCGCTCCCTTCACTGTGGTGGGCTCAGGACAGTGACCAGAGACTTTTCCACCTCCCTCCATACACGACCCTCTGTGTGTTGGCAGCCGGGACAGTGAATTCCCTGTTGTTGTGCCAAATCCAGACTGCAACGGTCACATGCTGCAAGTCACTGACACAGAATAAACTTGTTCAGTCAGTTCAAGCCTTGTGCCGCAGGGGGGAAAGTGCCGCTGGCTTGGCTTTATGCCGCAGATTTTATGCTTGGGCAAGTGGAACTCATGGTGCCATAGCCCTGCAGCTCCCTGACTGGGGTGGACATTGGCTGTGGGTTGATGCTGGTTTGGGTTTAAGCCCAGAGGAAGGGAGGGAGGGATTCACAGGGAACACTTTTGCTCCCGTAGGAGAAGAAACGGCGACGGGAGGAGAACCTGAAGCGGCGCCTGGAGAATGAGCGGAAGGCGGAAATTGTTCAAGTGGTGAGTTGTGGCCCCACCGTGGGCTGTGGACACCGCGGTGGCCTGGCAGAGCCAGTATCCTTCAGATCCTAGGCACTGGTGTCTAGTTTGCTCCAGTTCCGCTCCCTGGCTCCTCTGAAGCACTGGGAGGACTGGGGAAGTCCAGCCAAAGCCAGCTGTACCAGGAGGGTGATTCCTCAGCCAAGCAGGGGGGGGACAACTTCTCAAAAACCAGGGAGGGGGTCACCTTGCGGATTGCTGCCACGCGAGGCGACAGAGCAGGGGAAATGGCATCAATGGGAATCCAGGCACATGGTGCTTTCCTGCAGGGAAGTAGGGGCTTTTCCATCTGGAAGAGACTTGGGAGCTTGGGGTGGATGGGAAGAGCTGGGCAGCCATGCAATGGTGGTGAGGATGTGTTTAACCTGTCACCTCCGACACCAGAGCTGGGGCAATTTGGAGATGCTCCTGGGGAGGAGTTTTAGGATAAATCTGACCAGGAGCTGGACGGCTTCATGTCCAGACTTCAGTCAGTGCTATGCTTCAGTGGTGGGAGGAAGACAATCCCATCCCCGCCTGGCTCCCCCCTTGGTGTGATCTCTGTACCTGAAAGCCCCTTCTTTCCCCCTCACCCCCATCCCCAGATCCGGAACCCGCTGAAGCTCAAGCGGGCGAAGAAGAAGCAGCTGCGGCGGGTTGAGAAGCGGGACACGCTGGCCCTGCTCCAGAAAACACCCGTGCGACGCAAACCAGCCATGGAGTGAGATGGGAGACAGGGCACCGCGATGCCCAGCCTGGGAAGCTGGGATTTCTGTGGGTCCCACTTCTCTCCGGGGGTGTTTCCTCGGCTCAGCGGGCAGGAGTTGCTGCCCGGGCCCTTGGGGTTGGACAGACAGCAGGACAAAGCTGGGGTGGGTGATGCAACGCCGTGACCTGCAGGAACTGACTGTTGGATCCCCCCTACCCTGCTCTGTGAAGCTGGGGTGTTGCTGAGGGCCTGGGGCTCGAAGAACTGCTTTGCCACCCCCCAAATCTGCTTTTTCTTTACAAAAATGAATAGGAACTGACCCAGACTTGCCTCCCAACACTTCAGGGGGGTGCAGGTGGCTCCAGCGTGGGGCCTTCCCTCTGCCAAGACCAATCTCACTCAGTCTTCCTGGGGTCACAGGGGCTCCTTTTCCTCAAAGAGGGGTCTCACCTCCCTGGGAATGAGCTCTGGATGGAGAGGACCCGTCTCTGCTGCGCTGCAGGGATGGGAGGGGAGTGGGTGGTGCAGCACTGCCTCCTGTCACCCTTCTTTGGTGGGGGGCAGCACTGCTGCAGGGTGGGTTTGGGGGGTACTCTGGGAG